ATTCAAATTTATCCGGCATAGTGTGGACGGGGCCTAAAGCACAATGGTTCGGCCATTTTGCTCATTTACATCTCTTTCTCTATCCCGTATGTTGGGGGTACTATAAAAAATTAATGACAGCAACGAGGAAAGTGTTATTTTTGGAAGAAAGCCAGTTTATAAATAATTACTAAATAACTTCGGTACCAGTTTTCTAAATCATTTCCCTTGAAAACTATACTGAGATAATTCCGGTAGATAGATCACCTAGAAGATGAAAAGATTATAATTTGATAGTTCAAATGTCCAAACGTTATTCACGGATAAGTTGTCAATCATCAACTATGCAGCTTCCAATACAGCGATTTTAGATATCGAATTAAAAAAACTCTTTGCAAAATTTGTTTTCACTCGTTCGTTTTATGATACTTCACCTCGTAAATAATAAAAACCGTACGCGTGCACTTTCCATGTAGTGATCTCATACATATACCATTACATGGTTATTCCATGGATTACATAGCTTTAAGATAGGATTAAAAATTATAAAAATATACTTGAAAACTAAATTAATGTTGTGGTTCTCAATGGAAACTCCATTTGAAGTCCCAGAAAACAATGAACATATGTTAAGAAATAAAAGAAATATGATGGTTAGTGGAGTTATCAAGATTATCAATTACCTTGATGTTCAAATGAGTAAATTTCTCGTCCTGTTTTAAATACTTTGGGTTGGTATAGTTACCAGTAGCTGTTAGCTCACAGATGTGACGACCGTCCATCTCAGCTATGATCTTAAAATTGACCGAACGACACCAAGATGTCCCAACACAAGCGAACACACAATCCATCTTGCTGGAGACTTTGGTAGTCATTTGTTTGACTTTGGTCATGTTGGCGGGTAAAGACAGAAGGTAACCAGGATGGTTATCAAACAACATTCCTGGGTTACGATCATCGYGTGTGTTGGTACTTGTGATATGGTCCACTTTACACAACAGAACAAACAGGAGAATTAGAACGAGGAATTCCATGGCTTTGTAAAATTAGCTGTCTACTCGTCGAGAGTTAGAGCAAGAATGATATACTCAAAGTATTGCTCTCCTGTATGAAAAAATATTGATGTGGTAACAGTATGACGTTTGAATAAAATACAAATTTATTTATCTTTAATGATTTCATCCCGTTCTATAAGAATAATATTTACAAAAGTGAACCTATTGTCGGTCTGGAGCTCATCAATTCCCTTTTAACTTCCTGCTCTTTGAGGGGGTAAAAGGCAGTCTATGAATACAAGTATCTAAGTACCTGCAGCTTTGCTGGTAAATAATCATTATTTACCAGCAAAGCTGCAGGTACTTTAGATACTTGTATTCATAGTTATGAACCATTTTCTTGAGATTCTTTAGGATATTTACCGCATGTTTATTTATTATCATTTATATTATCACGCAAATTTTCCATACTTATGTAATAGTTTGATCATGTATACTTTAATTATTGATTATCGAGTCCCTATTGTTTGCACGTATATATAATATTATTTATTTATTGAGAAAAATTTCAGATATATAAAGCCRCCAAATGGATATGCTAAAATAAAGTAGTTATTATTTATTAGTATAAATTGAAAATCTCGCGCGCTGATTGGTCGAGAAACTCAGATTATCACACGATAATCATCTTCACCGATAATCCAAAATGGCGGCCAGCCGCTTTGTTGCTGTTTTCCCTAATTTTAATTGTGTCTTTTATCTTCTTTTTTCCCCATTTTTGGAAAGAATCACCTGTGTATTTATACTAAAACCATTATTCACCTCAGGCTCAGTGAATATCGGCAATAACAACCTCAACCTTCGTTTCGGTTATTATTCCCCTATACTCACTTCGCCTTCGGCGAATAATTGAAATGACAACAGAAGAAACAAACAAAAGAGAAATGGAAAAATTGGAGTAAATCGGCGTGACATCTGAAAGAAAATGTTGAGTGTAGTTGTAGAAAATGTTAGAATGCATCTGGGCTATGTGACATACACTATCCAGTATTGTTATATAGCTACGAAATTTTCCGATATAACGAACACTCTCATTGGTTGAAAGATGACCACGTGACCTTAGTTAAATCTAAACGTATCCCGAACGGGTTGGGATATAACTTGCACGTGATAATAAACGTGAAAATAAACAAGTGCACGTGATCAGAACGTGAAAATCGCTGATGGCGTGATATTTTCCACCAATCGAAAACGACAGAGCGGGAGCAGATATTCTGCTTGAATTTTCAGTACAAATGGAGCTCGAAGCGAAACAGTAGAGATTTTCCAGTGTTTCTACAGAGAAATTACAAACTTTTATTGGGAAAAAGGATTCGGAAAATACCGCGAAAAAAGGGACTAAAAATGCTAATGCTACTCTCCTCGCTTTTTGGTAGAGAAATACAAGGCCGTATGTGAGTTGTATTTGTAAAATCATGGTCAGTTTTCATGCATTTAGCTTGCTAAATAAAGTTCTTATTTCGTAAACTGACTTCTCAATGTTTCTTAATTGCTATATAACAAAACACTTAATGTCTGGTCGCGAGGGAAATTAGTTAGTTTTGTTTTCCTCGAGTCTAGATGTTTCCCTCGGCTTCGCCTCGTGAAACATCGAGACTCTCGGGAAAACAAAACGAACTATTTCCCTCGCGACCAGACATTAAGTGTATACTTTTTCTACAAATTGAGATTATTTCTGTAAATTTTCATTCTAATTCGGATTTCTCATATATAATGTTATATATCATAAATTTCAAAATTCACAGCATGTGCTTCAGCTCGTATTATAATATGATCAGTCCATGTACCTTACAGCGGATCCACAATAGGTTTGGCGCGATGCGGGATTTGCCTTTTTTTGAAGGCGGGATTCGGGATTTGAGCTAAAATCCGAGCGGGATGCGGGATTCGGAATCAGTGGCCGGGAATTTGTGATTTCTAGGTGTCGGGATTCGGGAAATTGCTAGGATTTTCGACGGGATACGGGATTTAACTTCACCTCGTGACCCGACTGATRTGATCTGATTTACATAAAAAAAGCCTGTCAAACATATCTATTAACACTTAAGTATATTTACCTATTTCTCTTTATATCGTGGTCCGCGACCTTCTCTGGTGACTCCGTTAGACCTTCGTAATCAACACTATTTATCTCTCTTGTCTCTCTTTATACTTGAACTCAATGACTTCAAGAGCGCCCTAGATAGAAACTGTTGACCCATCTACTCAGAATACTCAGGCAGTGGCTCAAGGAACAGAAATAGACGTCATAAACTGTGTGGCAAAAAATATATCATGAAAAGGGGGCAAGCGGGAATTCGTTTCTTCGCAGGGAAAAATTTAGAGAACAAATATCC